CGTATAACCGAAAGTTCCTAGACGTTTTCTTGATATTCCTGTCTTTAAAAACACACACGTGCTCTGTACATGTGTACAGTACACAAAAGTAAAATGAATGACAGACAGAAAATCTTTGTTGGCGCGTGTGTTTCTCAGCAACTCTCATCAGAGTGGTCAACGAAGCGTGTCGAACTGATGCATCTCCGCTCTCCCTTCGTATCGCTTCACCTTCCTCTACTTAGATGCTCTTTATGAGTTTAAATGGCGTTGGGAGGTTAACTGTGATGATGATAATAAAGATGATAATGTTAATGAAAACCATGATGTGGATGACGATGATGATGAGATGTTGATTTAGAAAAAAACCTCTACTTATAATGATAATTATGAATAATATACCAAGAGGCTAATGACATAAAGATGATGAAAGGATTATATGATAGTTAGTAAACATAATGACGACGACAGTGGGATTGACGAAGATGGCAGGCACAAGGATGCAACTGGCGGTAAGAGTTAAGCAGTGATGAGGAATGTTTAAAATGGAGTGGACGAAAAAACAAAAGCACATCAGTTTTACACGGCAGATATAACTTAACAGGAACATGCAGTTTTCAATTTAAATAAGCAATTAATTGCTATCGAATCGACCACTAAACAAAACCATCAAACTGTGAAAGGGACGTTTTGTTGGAAACCCTCTTCAAAACATCAAAGGAAATGCAACACAAAGATGCGGAGACAAGTTTTGCCAGCTTGCCAACAGCAAGACCTTGATCAAATGTATTTATTAAGTTGCTTCATAGTGAAGTCTCAAAATTAAAGGTTAACGCTTGAATTATAAGCTTTATGGCTACCTTCTTTTTTTCATTTGTTGGAGAGGTTCACTGACCAATCGATGGTCAACAATTTGTGGATGCTCGGTTAAAGTCTATCGTAATTTCAGTGGTCTCTATTGATATGTGTGTGTGTGTGTTGTATGTTTGTTGTATGCGTGTGTGGTGTGTGTTGTGTTTGGTGTAGTGTGAGAAGGTGCTATTCGGAAAAGTTGAATTTGAAACGTAAGGCAGCTCGGGTTGCAGTCATTTTATAGCCCAGTCACGAACGTGCTGAAGCAGTTGATTGAGACCGATTCACCAGGATTCACTGCATTTTGAAAGGAAATCAGGTGCAGTGAGTGCTGGGATGGCTTCAATGGAAAATGTCAGTTTGGGTCTCTTTTAATTTATTTTATGATAACATTTAATATTTATTTTTGTCATTTTTGTTATGATTAACTCGCATTGTTTAAGAACACTAGGCAAAGTTTCTTACGTTTTATTCCTGATTTTTATTTTTTCAAACCTAAGATTATTTTTTGCTTAATTCTACTTTGTCTTGTTCTATGCGTCTCTTGAATACACTGCCAGTTGATACAAAAAACTATCTTTCTTTGGGACTGTTTCGTTCATCAATTAATCAGCTCATTATAGCTAATCATTTCCAACTTGTTTGAAATCGCGCGTATTGCTGAATCCTTTCAATGTATTCAGCTTACTATTTTTATCTTGCTGGTTAAACTCAGATTATTTTTTTAATTTATTATTATCGGTATATATATGTATGTACAGTCTGGCGTTGATTAGTTCAGTTTTAAGTTTCATTGCAGTTGTTTCAATTTCTGTTTTCACGTTATAACTGTAATTAATTTTGTTTCAGCTGTTAAAGGTGGCCCAACGAGTTAAGCTTCGGGTCTCCTGCCTCTGTTTCAGACAACTAAAAATCTTTTTGAATATATATATATATATATATATATATATATATATATATATAATGTACATTACACCTTACAGATTAAAACATTGTTGACTAAACATCTCACGTAATCCAACACCGACCCCATCACACATGGCGTAGAAGTAAGCATCACACGTGACTCACATCGTTCATGATGAAACATCATGCACAATCATTTCAATACATATCAAGTCGTCATCATACTCACATGCCGTATTAATTGTGAAGCGACGCTAGTAGAGATTATGATGATGATGATGATTTTTAAACAATACTTTCAATGCAGATGAACTTGTTATGCAACTACCAACACGCCCCTATCAAAATGCCCCCCACCAACATGCACCTACCAACATGCACCTACCAACATGCACCTACCAACATGCACCTACCAACATGCACCTAACAAAATGCACCTACCAACATGCACATGCAGATTCCCGAGCAAGTGGTGGCGGGAAAGGATGAGTGTTGTCTCTCGTTGAACATCTGATGACGGGCTTCAACATCGGACACAAATGTCCAGACAACTTCATTACTCAACCATGGTAACGGTGATGAAAGTGATCGTGACGATGATTACAATCACTTTTCTTATTTTGTCGCTAACGATTATTAAAAATATGCAAAGATGATGATGATGGTGGTAAGAATAATAAAAGTTGCATTAAATGCTCTCTTAATAATTATCCCACCTGGTTGCTTGCATGTCTCACAACCTCTTAATGGGTAAAGTCGGAGATCCCCACTGAGCAAAAGGAAGGCTTAAGACATGTACGTACATCTAACATTCACGACGGATCTCCGACTTTACACACCTTACGACAAATTTTATTTCGTGGTGTATTGCAGAACTTCCTCCATTTGTGTGTTCTTCAGTATTAATGATGTGATTTTACAGTACACACATCCTGCTTGGCTGATCTTTCTTGTTTATTTGTTCACAAATTATTTAAACGAATATTGAAGACGTGTTGCGAATGAAATGTAGACCTTACAAATATATTTTTATATTTTGGAAAATTTACATTTGAAACCGTCAAGAAATGCTACAAACAATAAACATGCGTTGATATTTTTTCCAAACTCATTCGTAAATTTTAAAAATTTTGAACATGTCTTGAATTTTTAACGTTATCAAATGTACAACAATAATTTCTGTTCTATCTTCAATTGATTAAATTAATACTGTTTCATAAAGATGTATTGCTTCATAAAGAATTCGATTTCTACAGAAAAATTTTTAAAAACTGAATGTACACAAATTTATTCAATCGTGAAACATTTCAAATTGGCTTAATGGCTAACTTGGATCAAATAACTAACTAAAATCCATCAGCACAATTCTGAAAACTGTTTTTCGGAAAAATAAGCCGATTTATATTATTCACCATTTATAAACTCTTTCAAACAATTTCTCAGCATGAAGAACAATTAAATTTTTCAATTCATAATAGCAGCACGATACTTTCTGGACAGCTTCTATGAAAACAAGAGTAAGAAATTGTTCAAGCCAGTTGCAAAAAAGTTGACATGGATATTTCAGTTGATTCAGACTAAACGACAAAGCGTGGGTTGGTAAAAGCAAAGAGGCATAAGAATAAGAATGATCGAAACGCTAACAAATTTTCAGATCAATTTTTCGGAATGGTTCATTGTAAAAATGACAAACACCCAAATAAATACTTCGTGAACACATTAAAAAATTTGTGTTCAGTTTTGAAGTGATGAGTGCACACCTGAATGAATGTGTGTACGTACAAATATGAGTAGGCATCCGTTCAAATGTACGTCAGTGTATATCATTTCAAATTCTGTTCTGCCCAGAAGCTTATTTAATCAGAACATTAAAAGAAGAAATATGTCAAAGTAATCAATGTAAATCTTTTTTCAGCTTCTTTTCAAAATTTCAAAATATTTTAATATATATATATATATAAGTAGACATACAAATGCATATATTTAATCACTTTATTTTGAAGAAAGTAAAATTTTAATATATAACTTGTAAGCTTGTTTTTTTTTCACATGCATTCCACATTGCGAATAAAGATTTGAAACCTCGCGATGCAGATCTATAACCAGATTGGGCAGTGGGGATTTGCGATTTTTATAACATGTTACAAATTTTGAAAATTGTCGTGAAGGCAAATATATTAAATACAACACCCAAACTATTGATATAACAAATATTTTAAATATACTCATCATGTTATATTAGAGAGCATAGTTATGAATGGACCTTTTTATGAATCAATTGTTATAAGAATCTTGTTATTGTTATATATACAGACACATAAATCTCGTTGACTGCATCTTGTTACGTGTGAACGTTAAATTGAATGCATATAATAAAATGAGGCCAAAAATTTCATTTTTGAATACGATTTACATCAAAAACTAAATTAAATTGCATGCTCCAGCAAGAAATGAACTCAGTCTTAAGGACACCCAGTTGAATAAATTGAAACGTTGAAGTGCAGTTGCTGTAGAGAAACAAAATATTTAAAAATTTATTTTTAGTTAACTGATCGCTGCGGTTGTTGTCTTTTCAGCTTCATCAGAGAGATTTTGTGACTTGGATAAGATTTTTATTAAGAAAGAAAGCAGTGGTAATTAAAAATATTTTCTCCAGTGAAATTATTTCGTATGAACAACGTCGGAAAAAGAATTTAACCATACCTGCATTTAATCATTGATGAGAACTTTTCGTTCAACAATTTCGATAAAAATAATTAAGTTCAGCGTTTATGTAATAGTTATTTTTACATTTCTAATTTATTTAATTGATAAAATGAGTTAGCATTAAGCAGACAATTTCTAAATGTTGTAGTCATTGGGTTTGCATTTGTTATTTAAAGATATTTGATTTTTTATTTGTTCATGAAAATGATTAATCTTTTGTATAAAATTTTATTTTGAAGTCTTATAGTTAGCTCGCACAGCACAATATTAAATTTTTTTTCTGAAAATCATTTTTGCAAGGACTTCTGTTGTGTTGGTGAAATCCCGTATTACGCAATTGCTTCCGAGGCAACTTCATAACCGGGTACACTTTTAAAAAATGTTTCGTTATATTTGAGCTTGAATACAAAACCAAATTAGACCAAGAAGGAATGTTTGCTCGCACCATTCTACGCCGAGTTAGACTTCACCGCTTTCCTCTTTCAGCCGCGTTTAGATATTTTTTTCTGTTCTTCTTTAGATATTCTTGCATTTCAATTTCAATTTCCAAAGGTCTCTTATTGACACCTAATTCTGTTTGTGAGATGTGCAAACAAGTGGAAGTACACGAGGCATTGGAGGCAGTACGGAGAAGAGTACACGTGTGAAGATTCTTCAGCTCTGCTTCTGATGAGTGCAAGTTGATCAACTCTCACCGCTATGATGCAGTGCTCACTGAGCTGACGTTGCCTTACATTAAATACAGAAAATGACTAAATATACAATTAAATATTTATTTGCATAAATATGGGTATTTATTTAAATATTTATTTATTTAGATAAAATTGTTATTGATTTCACGCAGTTTAAATGACGCCAAAGTTATTTTTGTAGAAAATTATTAAATTTTATAGGTTGAAACGAAACATCACGTGATCAAGATCTGTCACCAATGACGAACGCGTGGAATCTTAATCATGCTGCACTTTTAAAGAATTCACGTGAAATTTCAATTTTTTGTTCACACTAAGAAAACAAAATGAAAACAAAATGAAAACAAAATGAAAACAAAATGAAAACAAAATGAAAAGAATGAAATAAAGTGATGCTTTATAATAATGTTGAATTTGAAGTGGCAAAAAATCAAAATGTCAAGCTCCATGATATTTTGGAATTTTCAAACGTGAGATATCATCATCGTCGTCATCATCATCATTTTAGCCACTGCAATCACCTAATCATAAGTCATATTGGTGTATTTTTCGTCACCATCATCAAATAAATCCTATTTTCAACAACATCTCAATCATCAATATTCTTCTGTTGCGTTTAGAAAATGTCGGTTTTTGTTGAATTAGAACTGAATTCAATTGCATGAGATCTTACAGTTCATTAAACAACGTGATGCGGTTGTTTGTTTGCTGTGGAGCGTTGAATCGCAACTGTTTGAAGGTAAAACTTGAATTTCTACGCATCCCTATACTTATTTTTTTAAATTCGTTAATGAATTCATTACCAATATTTTTTTATTACATTTTTGATGTTTTGTTTCTTCCTTTTTTCTCATCCTTATCTTGCTCGTCTTTTTTTTCGTCTCCCTTCGCGTATTCCTTCAAAACATCTTCCAGTTCTTTGCTTCGCTTCTTTTTCTTCCTACCGCCATCATCGTCGTCGTCGTCATCATCTTCCTCCTCTTTCTTCCTTCTTTCTTCCTCTTTCTTTCTTCTCATTTCTTCCAGCATCTCGATCCTCTCGCCCTGATTTATCAGCTCCACCTCCCTCCTTGTCAGCCTCATGTCGGCCATCAACATTTCCGTGTCGTCTGCGGAGATGGGTGTGTTTTTAGAAAGTTTAATTAAACTGATGACGTTGAAATAGTATTTATAGTTTCACTAATTTTTAACATTTTAAAGTAAAATGTAAATTAACTTTTGAAAATTTAAAATCTAAAATTAAATTAAATTTTTCAAAATTTTATTATTGTTTCGGTACAAAAATGTAAAAAATATTATTTTCAAATAAGAAAATAAAATAATGACCAAATTATTTTAATGATACTTTAAAAAATACCTAAAACGACAAAATTTCTACTCGTTGAAAAGTTTTTCAAATTTATTTAAATTTTTAAAACTATGATAATCTTTTTACAAAACAATTACCTTCTTGCAAAACGTTTTTAATTTCAAATATGCTACGCAGATACGCTAATTTTCGTTACATGTGGCAAATTAATCTGCACCACATCTCAAATTTCAAACATCCTATCACGAACAGTATGTCGGAGCCGAAACGTTTCAGAGTCGGAAAATTTGGAAAGAATTGGAATATAAACTCTCGGAGCACTTGAGTTTGGTGTAAGATTTTTTTATCAGATAATTCCTTTTGTCCGTGTATCAAACTTAACTCGTAATTTACAGAATGTTAGTGTTTGTAATTGTAATTCATTTTAATGATAATAAATGTTAATAATAGATGATAATAAATGTCAGAGTTTTTCGTTCTTCAAAATTGATGCGTGGGAAAGCATCACAACAACAACAACACACGTTTAGCCGGCATTTTTCCCGAGATC